TCCGCCCTTCTCCCCATTAGTATTTTCTAGACGCCTGTTACTTGTATATGAACCCGCTGTAGTTGTAGTTACTAGGCAATCAGAATATCGACTCAGAATACCCTCATACACCTGTATCAGTCTCATACTAAGACTTCCCCCATCCGCCTTCGCATGCGCTCGCCCACTCCCGGCCCCGACCCCTTGGCCCGACGCCCGACTTGTCCATCGATTCTGATCGGTATCACGCCGAAAGGTACTCACTAGGACTAGTCTTCGCCCGCCCGAAATTTAAGGACATCCTACGGATATTTGCGAGGGCGCAGCCCATAAGCTGAAGCCAAGTCCTTCCGATCGGTCCCTGTCGGCCACCGACATTAGTCAGTTTCCAGTTCTTAACACCTATCTGACAAATGAACTGTTTTTCAAAAGTCAAAAGTAGTACCGCTTAGAGAGCTACTAGTAGCTTACTCATTTGTTAATGATCGTTAGATCGAGATTGTTGATAGGAAGACAGGCTGCATCATTTCTTTCAAATCTTCTTGGTAGGAGAAAGTATGAATACCTTTCCTTCTGCGGAGGGAAATGAATTGAATTATTAATTCAGGCACACTCCTTTCTTCCGTGGTCCTTTTTTCACTCAGCTGATTCACCATGCTTACTTTGTTTATGCTTTCAATCTCGGTATGTCAACTTTATTTGTGAATGTTATTCTGAGTAAGCTGCAGCTATGCACAGACGTATAAGTAGGCAGGCGAATGTTGGGAAAATGAACAGCCTGAACAGACCCTTCTACCTAACGAAGTATGACTATCACTATCTACAACGTTCCTGGACAGACAGGGAAATCTTTCATCCCCCTGTGTGTCCGCGTAAAGTATGCCTGTCTGTGAATGTAACATCAGTACTTTTTGTTAACTTTACAACGACCTATGCAGAGCCGTTCTTAATTACAAGGGCATACCATATAACACGGTGTGGGTGGAATATCCCGAAATTGCAGCCACCATGCGTAAAATAGGAGCGGCTCCCACTAGTACTAAGCCTGATGGAAGCCCGCATTACACCATCCCCGTGATATCTGACCCAGACCATCCTTCCGAAGATGGGAAGTCCCACTGTCATATCTGATTCATGGAAGATCGTAGAATACCTCGAGGAAACGTACCCCTCTTCTGGTGTAGTATTTGTTAAAAAGCAAGACCTAATAGTAATATAGCTCAGTCACGTATATGTATAATGGACTAAGGTGACACTACAACGGGCAACTAGCTTATATACGCTGCGGGTCCAACCATCACCAGGCACCACCAGCGATATGGCAGTGGTGTCGGGTGTCTATACCCGAGTGTTCATGATGTATACATTCCAACACTCCTCCTCAGCATGAACCACTGAGTCTTCACCACTGGTGATCGAGGAAACCATGAAGTTGGACAAAAGTCAGTAGGCACAACGTGAAAGTGAAATGGATTTTTGGGTCGTATAATGTAGGTCCAAGCAATAAAGCTTGCTGGGTCATATAACGTAGGTCCAAAGATAAAGCTTGCTGGGTCATACAATGTAGGTCCAAAATGAAGCTTGCTGGGTCATAAAACTGATGGAAATGGCGGATTCCGCTTCGGGAGATGCGGGTTTTGCGACTTTTGCCAATGGGGGTGGCAGGATGCCTCAAATAGTGGGCCGTGAGATAAGAGTCTTATGTCTGGATATAAGAAGCTAGATGCGAAAATCCGGTATGAGTTCAATATGAATAGATGGTGAATTGATAATGAAGTGGGGGTGATGAAGACACGGGCGAAGTCGAACAATGATGATGTGGAGCTTCGAGAAATTGAAATACTGATCCGCCAGGGCCAACTGGAACGAAGCTGGGCAAGACAGGATTGAGATTCTCCTCCTCGACTTGCACAGCTTTGGTCAAAAAAAAACAATTGTGCTATAAATTTTGTCGCTGAATTGGCCACTCAGAGGTGGTGCGGTGGACTTGGAACAAGCGGTTCCATAAAATTTGAGTTTTTTGTTTTGCTCGATATATTGCCGTAAGTTTCGTCACTGGCCAGACAGAGGTGGTCATGGTCAACTTGGAACAGACAGTTCCGAAAAAAAAAAGGTAATCTTCTGCCATAAATTTTGTCCCTAAAAGGTAGACTTATAAATCTGCCAATATTTTTTTTTTTCGTCAACAGCAGACATTGGAAAGAGGTGATCCCAAAAAAAGACATAGCCAACAGAGAAATGACGATGGAACAGTTTTCTCAGAAGCAATAAAATGTGCCATGGGGCAATGATGATGGGTCGCTCAGAGGTGATAAAATGTACTATGGGGTACATATGATAGTTCACTCAGAGGTGATAAAATGCACCATGGGGCACATGTGACAGTTCACTCAGAGGTGATAAAATGTACCATGGGGTACATATGACAGTTCGCTCGGAGGCGATAAAATGCACCATGGGGCACATGTGGTAGTTCGCTCGGAGTGATAGTAAGACAACGGGTGCATATTTACAGACAATGTTCTTGTCCAGCTTGGTCTCGATATATGTCAATGATGTCTGGAGAAGTGGAACAGAGAGTGTAGATGTCATGATAAGGCGGCCACTGGCTTCTGTGTCTGGGCCACCATGAGTCAGGAAAATAAAATAAAATATAACAATGTGAGGAAGATAGATTTCTCAACAAGTTGCTGTTGTTCTCGTCTTTGGACGAGTGTAACGGTATGCAGCAAGTGGGACAGCATTACTGCGAGGGAGCTAAAATGATCTCCTTTTGACTGGGGGTGAAATAAACTGTAGGTCCACTGAACCTTGGGAATCCCGCTTGCGCTTTACATTGTTAATTGAAAGGACGAGGAGCACCCGCTGTTCGCTCAGATGCCATACCGACATACCCTACGGAAATTGGTGTACCTACAACCTGGTACCTTGGCTTCTGTGTCAGAGAGGGGGAAAGAGATGTTGAAGGATGGTAGACATGAAGGTGGAAAGTCCACCGAACATAAATACGTGAGCTGCCTCCTTTCATTTGTGCGGTGTGCTGATTCCCAATGCTCCTCCTCACCGCTCTACGCTCTACTCCTCCTGCCACATTTCCTGCCACATTGTGTCCTAAAGTAAGCCTAGACAGCCACGAAATGGAATAGGTTGGGTCTTTGCAAATTAATGGCAACAAGTGGTATTGTATGGTGCAAAATGGTACATCAGAGGCGATAATGGGATGGCGGTGTAGAATAGAACCCCAAAGGAGGGTGTTTATAATTACTATAATCTCAAATATTTACTAATAAAAGTCTTATTTTTACAAAACTCCATCTTTAAATAGTGATATCTATTCTGAAACAATTATATCATCAAAAAACAACCATCAGAAATAGTTCTCCATATTACATCTTATACAACCCATAGTTATTTAACAAATTCCATTGTATATAATTTCTTTCCTTTTACAGATGCCTACTAATACTTTTATTAGTACTTTGTTTTTTAAAAGTTGTAATGAAGTTATTTCCATGTAAAATATGTAAAATATTATTGGAAATTTTTCATACCACAGCTGTCTTTATTAAGTAAAACCCCCTATATATTCTGGGTATGTTGAATCAAGTAGAAATCTGTTCAGATTGACAGATCCATTCCGAAGTAATACATATGTATTTAGAGGTGCCAATAATATACATATGCATGAAATGGACTATCTAAAGGTATCTATTTTTTAAAAGTATTAGTGTTTCAAACTACATTGTCTACTTGTGTCCGGAAAGATTCTTTAGTTTGTAATGTATGAGAGAGTTTAAAACTTTTTGAAAGTTTTAAAACCAAATTATGTTTGAATCACATCCCAGATGTTTAAATGACCTTTAGAGTATATTAGAATTTGGTATACTTAATAGTTTTCAGATATTCTCCAAAGAAATTTTCCCAGAGGCGACAGTGAGATGATGATTATTTGTCATGGTGATGTGGGCGGAATTTGGAGTCGACGTCGACGGGAATTGGTAGACAGACGTGATTGCATCACTGACCGGATAATCCAGATAAGACGACAAAACTGAGAATGTTGAGCGCAGGTGAGATGATGAAATGGACCCGATTAGGTGCCAAAGTGAAGGGGGTCAAGAGTTGAAAGGGATCTCGAAGGGCAGTGGATGTGGCAGATATGATGAGATGCGATTAGGTGTGGAAAGTCATTGTGATCGCGCAAAATCGAGAGAGAAGGTGTTTAAAGTGGTGTCGGAGTCAGCCTCACTAAACACAGGGGTACTGCTTCTTTCCATGGTAGGGTGTTTTCTTCTCAACCCTCCTCCTCACCACTCTACTCCTCCCGCCACGTAGTTTCCTACCGGAGACCAAAAAATATGCAACCGAATCAATTGGGTTGACGCAAGACAGGATATGATCGGTTCGTCGCAAAGAAAAGCTCCTAGCTGCCTGTCGAATTAATGGTGACGAGTTATGTGATATAAGGTGTCGATTGTAGAATGGGTTTAAAGTCTTGTGGATGAAATATATCCTAGTTTATGTAATTAATTCAAAGATGTTGCCATATTGGTTGTCCAGTCCTTGAGTCAAGTCATCGTGCATGAGATATCCTCAAGGTAGTCGAGTAATTGTAGTGACAATCGAGAGGTATAGATTCAGCAAGACTGCTATCTCAAAAAAGCTTGTGGGGTACAAAGAGATGACATTGGAAGAGGATAATGTAAAATTTTGTTCCGTTTAATATTCGAATAGAATTATGGTAGATGTGATGGCCGTATGTTCAAATGATAATTGTTGTGGTGACATGGTAGGAATGGGTGATCGACACCATGTGTAAGAACTTTGAGTCTTCTAAAGGGAATGTGGGGTGAAGAGCATTTTGAAGATGAATATGCAGCCTGTGCAGAAAGTTTGTTTCGATTAGGTATGAGATTGTATGAAAGGGTCTTGTGGCTTGAAAACATGATTGGACGTGTTTCATCATTTGTGTTATCTGGCGCGACCGGGGCCCATAACCTGTTAAAAGTGTAGAAAATGAATGGCCAGACTGGGGATTGAACCCAGGGCTTCTGCTTATATAGCAGGGGTGTTAACCATTACACCACCTGACCCTGGGAAGCACTGCTAGCATTACTCAATCTAACACACTCCCTTAATGCTAGCACTCAACTATACTATAAGCAGATATAGGTCCTCTCTGGCTCTCTTGTCCAGACTTGTCCACTATACCACACAGAAATATAGCTGTTCACTCTACACACAGGAACCATGCCCTATAGCATACAGCGGGGCCCATAACCTGTTAAAAAGTAAGACCTAATAGTAATATAGCTCAGTCACGTATATGTATAATGGACTAAGGTGACACTACAACGGGCAACTAGCTTATATACGCTGCGGGTCCAACCATCACCAGGCACCACCAGCGATATGGCGGTGGTGTCGGGTGTCTATACCCGAGTGTTCATGATGTATACATTCCAACAGTATTCCCAAGTGGCACCAAATCATTACAATTCCTCTTCCAACAGCATCTCTCTAAGGCCTTGATTTTAGTGATAATCCCCGCATATATCTTCAAAATGTTTCAAAATCTTCAGGATGGAAGTAAAGAGTATGTGAAAATCTTCTTATTAAATCATTATCCGTTCATTTTGGGCTTTTATTCCTCCCAATAGATACTTCCGACAGACGAGGGAGACTTTCTTTAATAAGAAATTAGAAGAATTGCATCCTGAGGGGTCAGAGGAGTGGAAAGAGGCATGGAAAAGTGTCGAAAAAGGTTGAAACATTCCCTTTATTTGACACGCCCCAATTTTTTAATTACTACTTCATTCCAGGCTTCGCTGACCTTGCACTCGTGCTCGACAAAAATGGAGAGGATTCCCATTGTGTCCTTGAGGGCACAATCACTTACGCGGATTTCATCCTTGCCTCATTCTTGGATATTATTGCCACATTTACCCCGGAAAAATGGGAGGAAGAAATAAAACTTTGGGACAACGGGAGATGGGCTATTGCAATGGGGAAGTGTCTTCCATACTTTGAGAAAGCTTAGGACATTCTCCGTAGTCTTTAAATTGAATACATCCAACGCCTCAATATAAGGCATGTTCTAGAATTCGACTTGTTATCAGTTCTTCTTCGCCTTCGAGTTGAGCGGGATACAAATAGGGCTTGAGTGGTCATTTGATCTCCCCTGCGCGGAGGGTAACTTGCTGAAAATAGTCTCATCTGCCGGATTAACTATTGCTCTGAGTCCTGTTGTGCAGTGCGGGCCAAGAGCCGTATGTGCACTACCCGTTACGGGGAATGCCTGCGGCGGGAAAATATAACCAATTTGAAGCTCTCTTGGCCCTCAGCGCCTCCTTGAGTGACAATCCTCATTTAACGACACGGAGTTAATGCCAGCCGCGAGTGTATAATCAGATAAAGCCTTGTACCGGCATGGGAACGTGCTTGAGAAACTAGTTTGTAATTCTGACTATAAAACTGACTAAAAACAAAGTTCTTTTCATATCTCTCTATATTGACTGGCCGTACTCGCGATGGCGTTTGAGTTTGCGTGCCCAGCAGTCGAATCTGGCAAAGCTTAGATCAACGATTAGTTTTTGGCGTCCAGAATCTGTATTCAAAATTTTCGTGAAATTTCGATGACGGTGAAAGAAATTCAACACCATTGGGAACAAATCCGTGTTGGGAAGGAAAGAATAAAAATCAACAATTGGATGTGAAAGTAGACATTTAAAATGAAGAAGAGAAGTCAATGCGGGAACAAAAAACCAAAAGGAGATGACTCGGCGCTGGCCAGAATCAAAGTCTATCTCATCCCATCTTGGACGAGCCGAAGGGATTCCTATTGATGCCTGCTAGTCGCATTCATGCATCCTCATTAGAGGAAAGGCTTGCCTTGATTCCTCGCACTCCAATGGTATACGCCGTCTCGCCGACTCTGGGTGCCTCAGTCAATGAGGGTTGCCCACGACGGGGCGGAAAAGTGTTTTGATTTGGATGTGGGGATGATAGCTCACGCCATCCTCGAGTCAAACATCTCTCTTGGGGTTGGTCGAACGTCTTCCAGACATCTAACAGCCCTGTGCTAGCAAGGCACTCAACGGTAATCATTGATGGACTGGGGATAGTTGTCTCCCAGTCGGGTTGTCGTTCAGCCAGTCTCGCTGCAGTGGCCTGCAAGGCGTATTGCGCTGCCGTCTGGGGCGAAGGATTGGACGAAAGGGGTATTGGGGTGGGGAGATGTGCCGTACTGAAAAGATACTCTGTTCGGATGACATCTTGCGGCTGGGCAGCGTTGTTGGTTGGGAGGTGGCCAGGTGTTTGTGTCATTGTGGTGCCGTGCGAGGGCTCTTGATCATGTACCACATGGCTCAAGAGTCTGAGTGAATCGGCTCGCGCCAGAAAGGGGAGAAGGACTTCTAACTGGCCTCGATCGTGAAGCTGGTTTATTGTGTAGTCAATAGCTCGTGGGGTGATAGACCACTACAAGGCAAATACAATCAGGATATTGACGTTTCACAGGTCAGGTAGCATTGGGAAGTGAATACTGACCTTGATTTCCTCAGGCGAGCTCGTTCCTTGCGACGCAATCATTCCCAGCGGAAGCGTGTCCGGAACACATTGGAAGAGATCTCTGTTATTCCACAATACCCTGAGAACGGATCTCTTTTGATCTGGTAAGTACTGTCCTATTCCATGTATGAAGTTGCCATCGGTTCTGCTTACAGTCTCTCCCACTCCGTTTCTCCCTTTCCCCCACTTAATCCCAGGGTACTTGAGGCGGGATGCCACCACTAATTCATGCGCCGTTAGTACCCCATTTGGAGCACCGAACAATATCGAAAGAACGATAACATATTTGTGGTAACATAGTTTCGGGTTATCATTGATATCCTGAAGAGCAAGGATATTTCCGCCTGTGCCAGGCTCCTGTCCACCAGCTGGATGGTATTAGGCAATGATAGTGTCTTTAAACGCGTTGGCTTACGATTCTTTCTCTCCCATTCATCAAACCAGGCTTGGTGTTCTGGAGAGGGGTAGTATTCCCTCAGGCGCGACGGCCTGGGAATCGCAACCTTGCTCTCCCGAGTGGGTTCCGGATGGGGGGAAAATATTCCCATAACCTTTTTGGCGGTGTCTGGCATTGAATAATGCTACACGGGTATAAGACATAAGTATATGTGATCTCACATCAAGCACGGACATTATAAAAGGCTATGGTACAACCTTGCGTGTCAAAGCGCAATAGAGCTAAGTAATATGCTTGAGAAAAACTACAGAAAACAGCCACGTAAGGCGTTGACACAAAGGTATTTTTTCTAGTGAGTTTAAGCTAAAAGTACGCGATGGCCTGATCAAGCTCATATGAGAACGGGTGTGACCTCGATTAATGAACTGCACGTACTATTATCAAAAACTACCGGGATGTTCGTGTCGAGCGATTCTTCACTTGATACCGTAGGTGGCGTCCTCAGCAGATTTTTGGTAATGATTGTACGATAGAAAGTACTAGGATATGTTGAAAACGTTTATGAAGTTGTTTTATGTTTTATGCTGACGCTTGAATGTCCTCACTGCGAGTGGATATGGGTAGGCCTTGGGACCCTCGGAGAGTGGGAAAAAGACTGGCAGAGAACCATATACAAATAACCGGAACATTCAAAGTGGCGTTGTCGGCTATTCTAAGCGAAGCAACCAGTTTCGCAGGACGGTGCAGAACGGATGTGGTCCGTGTAGCTCAAAGTGTGCCATGCTTAAATGGAATCGCTACTTTCAAAGATGGTCTTAGCTAGGTTCTTCTTGACTTGGAACTTTTGACAGCTTGGAGAATGGTTTATATTCTGTAAGTACTATATGACACATTGATGAAACTTGCTCTATTGTGTCCTAAACGTTTTTTCGCTAGTCAGAAACAGCCTTCTCTTGGTTAGAGATGTGTTCTGCATCGTTAGCTATAATTCTCAGATAAATATGCTTGTTGTTTGAGCTTCTTCAAATCTGATCTATGAGAAATCGTTGTGACTCCCATAGATCCTAAAATGACGATTTGTGCTACACTGGTTCGCCTCCAAGTTCAATATGGATCTTGGCCTTCATCATATTTCCGAGCCATAAGGTTGCTCCTCAATTCGTTAAGAACAATCGAACTTTTGACAGGATCAAGCTCCGATCAGTGCGAAACTTGGTCAAAGTGGGCGGATTGAGGTGGAGTTCCCTTGCGGGGAGGCTAACCCTGTCGTAGATGCTCTCGAACACGACGTCAAAGACGTGGTTAATAACGCGTTCTAGAGTGACCTTCCACTTTCTATTGGGCCATCCGACAGGGAAACGAACCATCATACCCTTAGTAGTTGATCATGGAGATCGGCGATGCAGAGTATGCGTATCATCCCAGTGGTGCGCAAGTTCACCGACCTGAAACACTTCCTTGAGTAGAACCCTTGCATATAATGAAGCAATACATCAAGAGAGTTCCAACTGGGTGTCTATTCCCGCCGTAGGCATTCCACACGATCCGTAACAGGTAGTGCACATGCACTGAATTTCTATAGACTAATCATTCGTTTCAGATTTTCCAGCTAAGGGCTTTACGGCTATACTTTAAAGCTGGTCCAATGAGAGAGAAACCGACTGTGGATACCAGTACGTACTCATTCGCATTGACGCAGTCTCGATCTCCTTGACGACACACTGGCGGGGGGGAAAATGCCAAGTTGAACAAGGACGAGCACTACCAGCTCACTTGCCGTGATTGTAACCTCTTTTTATACCTGCGCAGTTCAATAAGAACAGTTTCCTTCCACCGTGGAATCACCGGCTGTCCAGCAACTACGGTGGTGACTCCTGTAGATCGAGCAATGGTCGATTGGCAATAGGTTCGGCATATGGGGATCATGGCGGTGCAGATGCTTTAATTTTCAAAGAGGTTTAAACTTGAAATTTATGTACCTGACAATATACAGACACATCTCCTATCACCTTTATTCATCTTTCTCTTCTCATTCCTGTAGAGGGCTTCTGTATTTAATGAGGACTGTGCCCTATGCAAGACAATACAAAACCATTAATTCCCCTTCCATATTCTTGTAAGTCCATG